GCGGGGCGGCGCGGAGCGGCGGCGGGGTCCGGCCGGGGGCGGCGAGGCGTTCCGCGCCCCTCGGGGAACGATCCCGACGAGGAAGAGGCCTTGGAGCTGTGTCGGGGCCTCTTCCCTGGGACAGGAGGGGACTGGTGCCTGGGTGCCCGGGGGAGGGAAAGGGTCACGCCTCACCTCTTCGATCTGCAGCTTTGCTGCTCCAAAACAGGTACTGAAAAGCAGCCATCTCCCCTCGCCCCCTCCCCAGGTGGGCTGCGCAGACCAATCGCACTGAAATGATTAGTAAAACTCACTGGGATTGCCTTCCCCCGCGGGGGCTCAGCGCCCGTGCAGGACAGCGGGGTGGGTCGGGTTCTCTGAGCATCTGAGTCTGTGAAGGTGTCTGGCTGGAGGTGGGTTTTGTTGTCCTTATCACTGATTTACACGGTCGCAGCTCTGTAGGCTTCTTTGAATGCTCTCCTACCCCCTGGGCATCAGTGGTTTTCTTATCCAACTTCCACAGCCTCCTCAGTTCTGCATTTTTTTCCTAGGGGCCTCATTTCCAGCCTGAGACAGCAAATGGCGATGGCAATCGGTGTGCCCTGTATATGCAGAGACCATCCTCCAGCCAGTCCTGAGCAAGCTACGATGGCAAAGGCCAACCAAGCAGCCAGAAGAGGTGGTGAAGGGGTTTATGGGGTATAAAAGAAGTGTCTTCTGCTCAGCTCTTTCTGCCTCAGCAGTAGCAGCAGCAATAGCCAGAGGAGACTGTATGGATTTGATGGGAAAAAGCTAGTGGTTCTGGCCACAACAGCAACTTCCAGCTTCCAGATAGCAATGTCCCTTTCTTCCTCACAGTTTCCTCTGCCTCTGCTGCTGTCTAGGTGGTGACATCTGGTCTGACTGGTCAACACAACTGTCTGGTTCATTATAAAGGACTGAGATAAGAACTTTGTCTTGCCATTGCCTGATTAATGTTGGCTCTGCCTACATGCTCTGGCTGGCCCGACTTTCACTCCCCCTTCCGTACCTCCGGAACAGGACATTCATAGACAGAGAAAGACTTGAAGAAACATCTCTATGCCTTGCAATCCTCTGAGCATATAGATTCACATGATACAGCACCATATTGATCTAGCTCATAGGAAAAGGTCTTTTTCAGGGCACTTCTCTGGAGCTTGCTTTCCCTGGGTAGAAGGAAAGAGGGATGTTTTGCTTTCAAATCCTTGCATGAGACTTTGAGCTGTCATGGTCTTGAGGCATGTTTTTTTTGTTGTGGGGTTTTTGGTTTTGCTTCTTTTTTTTTTTTTTGTAAATCCCAACAGGCATATGAATTTAGCCTATGTAAAGAAGATTGCTTTGGAATTTTCAGTCAAGATCTGGTTTGCTCAATTGTGGCTGGGCAGAGAAGACAAAAGTTCTTTTGATCTTCTATTCTCAGGTTGAGAGGACTTTCCTTACAGGTCAAAAGAAGAATCTGAAGGCAGAAGGACCACTTTTACTAACCATGGCTCTGATACACTTTTGGAAATGACACCTTGAAGCTTTCAGGAACAGTGCTGCTGAGGAGCAAGTTGTAGTAGGAAGGGGTAGATTTGGACTTGCCTGTAGATGATAAAGGAGACCTCTGCAGTTTCTGCTCTACAAGTCAGCTGTGAAGGGAAGAAAGGGGGTTACTTTCCTGTCCGTGCAGCCAGTAATTCTCCTGGCTCTGGACTAAGTGGGAAGACCAAGATAATCTGGGAATTCACCCTTACCAGGCTGCAAATGTTAGGAATTGTTTGGAGTGTGTGGTCAGAGGATGGAGTAGTTAAGGATAGAAAAAGGCTGTCTGGGGATTCCTGGGCTCCTCTGTGATAAACAAGGGAGTATTTCAGGAACCTCAGATGCGAGAAGGAAGTCTCTGGAGCATGAATGCCGTTGGTCATGGGTGGCTGGCCACTCAAAAGGGACTAGGCTTGGACTGAAAGACCACAGAAAGGAGAGGATTCTCCTGCAAGGCCCAGCTGCAGGGGAGCAGCTGCCTGCCTCTTGAGGAGAGTCCCAATGGAGAAAAAAATAAGAAATTCATGGAATTTAGTAAGCTGTAGCTGCAGCCAGCTCTAGAGATAGCAACAGGTGAAACCAGATACTTCTGTTGTGGGTATCGAGAGATAGCATGGACTAGAATATTTTCCAGAAGGGAAAGTCCTTCCTTTCTCCAATGAATAATGAGTCTTGTACCATTTCCTGCAGTCCCAGCAGCTTTCTGCAACAGTAAACCTGCGTAATAGCCTGAAATATGCATCCCATTTGGGAATCTGACCAGGGAAAGAAAACAGAGATAACAACTGTATGTTTTGAGTCATCTCTACACTTTTGTTTAATTCAGTTTCAAAGGATGTATTTAATATGAATAGAAAGCAGAACAAAGGCAACTACATCAGGCTGATGACAAGCCCTCCTGGGACAGCAGTGCAATGACCCAATCAAACATAATTTAAGTGTAATTCTACAGCCAAAACCTACGGAGAATTCACAGAGCTTCAGATCTGAAGATGGCTTAGGCCATCCAACCATGCATGAAGTTGATACGAAGCAGCAGAGCTTTATGTTCTGGTAACAAAGGCTCCAGATGACACTGGATGTGTATAAATGAGGGCAGGATTTAGTCTACAGAGTTATGGGCAAGGCATGACTAGAAGAGGATTTTCAAAGAAGAGTCTTGAGTAGAGCGGTGAAGTTACATTAAGATCTTTTTCTTGATATAAAGAACTCTCTGATACTTTCATGTCACTCATTTGATCCCTGCGGGGGATTCAAACTCTGCAGTGTCTGAGACTTTTTCCACAACTGTGTTTTGCTTCCTTTACAAAAAGAAACAACTGTTGTGAGGATTGCTAAAAAAAGCCAACAGTCCCCAAAGTGCTGCTTTATTTATCCTCATGTGATCAGTCAGTTCATATCATGTAATAAATAACTCCAAGTCCTAAGATGTTAGTCCTAAAATTATTGGAGTAAGGGAAAGTTTTTCTAGGGTAAGAGTGCAAACAATTTTTGCTCATGAAAAGAGAAAAGGGGAATGGTAAAACCTCTTCCATTGACCCAGCTGATCAAATAGTTTAAGGCACCACCTAGATAAATTTCAACTCTGAAACAGGAGTAAACATACTATTTTTAACAATTTTTAGAGAACAGAAAAGTAATACTATGGTCACATCTCAATTACTAAATGAGACAAGACAGTGGTGTGGGAACTGAAGATGCCAGAATGACATAAATGGCTGTATATTGCACTGCTTTTGCTTATGAAATCACAGCCCAATCTGGCCAACTGAAGAGTCAAAGCTCTCTCAGGCATGGGTGACAATTAAGCTTATTGCAAAGGCTTACTACAGAAGATCTATTATTATTATTATTATTATTAGCAATAGCAATAGCAATAGCAATGATAATCATTTGAAGAGCACCTTGATGTGTATGAGGTGCCTCTCAAGACAGATTAAAGAGCAGTTTTTCTCAGGCAGTGCTGATAAACTTTAAGGTGTCATAATGTGTGAACAAGTTGTTTCCAGGGATGAAAGCAGAGAGGAGGGATGAAAGCAGGCAGGCCTAGTAGCAGTATGATGACAGAGTTCCTGGTGGTGAGTGAGGAAGAGAAAAGATTGCTTTTAGGGAAAAAAGAACCCATCATCTTTTAGTTGGTTGGGGAGGCACTTTGGGAAGGGAATGGAGATCAGAATCACAGAACAGCTGAGGCTGGAAGGCACCTCTGGAGTCTAGTCCAACCCCTCTGCTCAAAGCAGAGTCACCTAGAGCAGGTTGTTCAAGGCCGTGCCCAGTTGGGTTTTGGATATCTCCAAGTGTGGAGACTCCACAGCCTCTTTGGGCAACCTGTTCTAGTATTTGACTACCCTCACCATGGAAAAGTGTTTCCTGATGTTCAGAGGGACCCTCCTGTGTTTCAGTTTGTGCCCATGGTCTCCTGTCCTGTCACTGGGCACCAAACCAAGAGGTTGGCTCCATCTTCATTGAACCCTCCAATTAGAGATCCTTTTTGTGGAGTCAAATGGGAGCTGCAGGAATGAGAAGCGGCAGGGAAGATAGTCTGCGGGAAACGTAGACAAACAGGACACTGACAGAGTGACAGAAGAGCACAACAATACGTGCTCATCCAGTACTGTTGACTTGAATGCACTTCAAGTCACATCTTTGGATGCAAGACTGCACTTGTCAGGGAAAACACACACGTACATCAATGAAGTACAAGTCATAACAACAACAAACAGGGAGCATTTCCTAGAAAGATTGGATTTTTTCACAGGAAAAAACCCCAACATGAAGCAGTTATGTTATATGGGAACTATGGGTTGGGGAGCTTCCCAGAAAGCCAGCTGCCCCTGTTCCTAATTATTTATTATTCATCTCTGTTTCAGTCCAAAATGAGGGCTGATTTATGGGAAATTACTTACAAAATGAACATGGAAATATGGGATGGATGATGATTAATGGGAGCTATGATACGTGCCTGCAAAAATGCAAAGGGCATAAACATCCAGGAGGGGAAGGTTGACATGGGGTGACACGAAAGGGTTTTCATATGAGTAAATTAATAACGACAATGTATTTCCTGATGGCGACGCTATTAGCTCATAGAGTAAGCTTTGAAGAGAAGATTAGGAGACATGGTGGAAAGCGTGTTGTTCCTCACTCCTGCCCTGAAGACTCCACTACAGGAAAGCCTTTTGTGTTGGATCTTTGTGAAGACCCAAGTTGGATTTATGTACTGCAACTTTATGCTTCATTTTGCAGGTATGATGGGTACCTAATTACCACTTTTTTGTTTCCTTCTTAAGATGCTGATACAAAGCAACAAACTTCTGGTTTGCAATATAAAGAGCAAAAAGTATTTGAGAATATATTTGAATCATGGATGTTTAAAAATATGACTTGATAAAATAAATGACTTTTGGATGGAAAACCACAAATGCCATCATGCTCGGTATCAGAAGTAAGGCTCTTCCAGCCTTAAGGCACAGTAGTTTTAATGCATTAATGCTCAAAAATGACAGGGTTATCTTTGGATCCATTAAGAGTTTTCACAAACCACCTAAATAAACATGCCACGTGATTAGACAGTGAAGCAGTAGATCAAGTTGTCAGAAGTGATTTACATAGAGTTCATGGTTCCCTGAGGCAAGGGAATGAGACAACTTCCTGAGGTCCCTGAATCCCTGAAACCAGAGACTTGTGGCTTGAAGATGAAAATGACTACTACAGTATAATGACTTTCACTGTCTACTCCCCTGGGAGTGGTAGGTCATCTCCAACACTATCCCATTAATGCTACATTTAATTCGTCTCAAGTTGTCATGGGCTTGGTTATTTTCAAAGTATACTCTCATTCTATTAGGCCTCATGCCTGCAACTAACTACAGAACAAGCAACAAGAATATAATTTTTGCCTCATGACATTTTCATTTCATGCTAACAACAGGACGTGCACAAAGTCTCTGCCACTCCGGCAGATGCTGCATCTCACCTGGTGGGAGCTGAGATGCTACTAGAGAAGAGACGGCAGGCTGTCTGAGCACATGAAATGGTCTGTAAGAGTCTGTGGCTGTCCTAGATTCTCCCACGCCGACTTCACTGGGGGCTCTGAATCGCGTATTAAGGGCAGTGAATGGCCTAGAGTATCTATCAAGAGTGATGTCAGTTAATTACTACCCCTGGGATTCAGCAATGAGTTGGTGCACTGTAAGTTAATGACTTCCAGGCACGATACTTGGCAATTCTACCATTATTATTTTGCAAGGAGACTTCAATGACTCTTCATGAAGCCAGCCAACCAGAATGTTGTTGATCTGCTGTTTGCTTGCCTGTTGCACAAGATATTGGTGAAACTCTCACTACCTATTTGTTGACCTTTCTTTCCTTTCATTCTCTCTCTCCCAGTATACACAGATGTGTCATTGTCTCCAAAGGAGACTTCACTCTTTAGCAAACAACATCAAGAAAAAGGCCACATCCCTTTCCAAATTACAATTCAGCCTTCTAAAGATGGTTGTCGACAAGACATTGATGAATTCAGACACAGCTTTGAGATTTCTCAAAGGGTTTGAGGATTTCCATTGTCAGACATGGCTATTGTGCTACGAAAATGACTCCCAGCTGAAAGAGTGAGAAAACATTTTAAAGGACAGCTCAACAGTATTAAAAAAAGCTGGATACCCTGGCACCCTGGGGGAAAAGCTGCTAACAAAGTTAGTGAGATGGGTTGGGACAACATTTGAGTGTCACAATAATTTCATTGCATAATCTTTGTCCTGCTTACCCCCAGCTCACCAAAGACAATGGAAGCATGGGGGTTTCAGTTCCTTGCAGGAGACAATCAGAGTCTTGCATCATCAAGTCCTTTTTATTTTTTCTACAAGATTATAAAAGACAGAAATGCATTCTTGACTGCAAACTAACATTCAAAGTCTCATGAGAATAGATACCGCTCCCTTGGCCATCAAACTTTGGAAAGGACTCAAGATGACCGTGATGAATCTCATGGAGAAGCAAGCCCAAATAAACACAATTTGAATGAATAGAGAATGCAGTCATCCCATCAACAGATGAGCTTGGTTAGTCCTTGTCTCTGCAGCCCCTCTACGGTACTGTGTTACTGCTCAAACCATGTCAGATACAGCTTGCTAATGAAGCTGCCACGCTGGGCCTTCAGGCCTCTTACCATTTTACAGATGGACTTGGCCTCCTCAGAAAACTTATGGGAGTACACCTCTTCTGTCTCCAGCACTCTTCTGTCCACTTCTTCCCTCTTCACCTTCTCTTTCCTCCCACGAAATGGTGATTGCCCAGCAATCATTTCATAAATGAGACAGCCTAGTCCCCAGTAGTCAGGGCTGAGTGTGTATCTCTGGTTGTTCAACACTTCTGGAGCTGTGGAGGAGAAAGATGTGTCTTGTGGAAATGCTTGATATTTACATAGGCAAAAAAATTTAAATTTCTAGAAGTTCCATTTTGGTGACTGAACACAGAGGCACAGAGAATAGTGGGTAAAATGTAAAAATACCTCCTGGTTTCTGTTGATGGCATTACAGAAAATGCAGCATGCTACATGCCATGTTTTTTTACACTACATGCTACATGCCATGTGCATGCTGCCTTCTGACTTACTAACCAAGTCAGACCAATTAAAAAAAACAAAAAGAAGTTGAACCTAAGTATTAAGCAGAGGCCTAATCTTAAGAGTCCTTCCAGATTTCTCCATTTAGGGAAGAAATGACATACAAACACACATCCTGTAAACAGCAGTCACATTTCTTCAAAAGCAAATTCTGTCTTTTTGCTCAATTTATAACTTATTTCTTTCCCCCTTTAAAAAATACATTTATTTTGAACTGCAACCATCCAGTGTGCTTTGGGCTTATAGTCACTGTCTTGCAGGCATCCTCACTTCCATACATGGGTACAAATGCACACATGCGTGCTCACAAGCACAGTCTTAGTGCGTGCACAAACTGAGATAACAAAATTTAGCAATGACAACTGATTTGCTTGCTTTCATTAAAGTCTCTGTATGGTGTAACAGTGGCTCATATCAGCTAGTTTCTATTTAGTCAAATAAGCATAAGCAATTTTTATTCCAAGAAATATGCCCACTCAGAGAATGCGTGAAAATAATTACACTGAAATTAGAAAACAGATCTAGTTAAATCAGGGAGTGTGTTTTTCACCAATGACCATAGGTGCAGACTTACCCATTTTATCATAAACATATAAATACATTTTAACTATTATACAAAGTAGCAACTAGCAAGAAACCTTTCTTTTAGCATGTAACCCTCCTAAAATAAATCTACGCTAAAATGACTAGAATGCTGGTTGTTGTCTCCCCTTTTAATTTTCTTTGCTGATTTAAGATTATAGACCAGCCTCTTTAAGAGCCGCTGTGGTCCATCCTTCTGCCCACTTCTGACTTCCATGAGCATGACTTCTTGGTGGGTTGCTGCAGGGAACTATACCCAGCTGAATGTGAATCTTTCTTTACTATTTTTCTTAAGCTTATGTGGCAGAAAGATCTCCAAAACTCAAGTAATCTCAGCAAATTTAAAAAAAAAGAGCTACTGAAGACTTACCCATATATCCTACTGTTCCTACTCTTCCACGGATTGATTCACCCTCAGGGATTTTAACAGCTAGACCCAAATCAGATATTCTAATATGGCCTGGAAGGAAAAAAGAAATGAAACAACACAAAGCAGATATAATAATATGACCCAAATCAGTCCAAAACCACAACTGTTGTCTTTGCTACAACACTCTTGCAATTTACTGTTCAGACATTCTAAGAAAAGAGTGTTCTGAATTGGAGCAGTTTCATTGATAAGGAAAAGAGGAATTAGTAAGGGCATTACAATGCAGTGACATTAATTTTAACAGGGAGGCTCCGGACTAGAGTGGATTGTGTTAGGTATTTTAAAACCAACCAAAAAAAAGGCAACGAGAAACATGCTGTAGGGAAGTATCTTGAACTGATCGCAGGGGATGGATGGGCTGACATAATTCTGCAACTCTCTGATGGCTGAAGGAGCTACATCTGGTCTGTAAGTCAGCAGGAGATTTGATTACGGCTGCCTTCAGCAGCGAACAGGTACCTGGGTTTGCATAAAACGAGAGTTGGCTCCGCAAAGGCTGAAAGTACTTTTGAAAACGGAGCGGGAAGCACAGATTTAGAAATCACCACTTCCTTTGTGTTGTGTCAGCCTTGCAACGATAAGGATGGAAAACCAATGAAAAAAGGCAGACGCCCCCAGCAAAGCTGTGCTCTTGGTATCAGACCCTGCTGAGCAGCACGGCTGCTTTCTTCCACCCGTGCGGTGAGCTCCAGCACTTCACCCAACCCGATACAGGAGTATTAGTGTATGCTGAGCCTCTTAGTCACTTCAGAGCATTATTTGTCTTTGTGCAATATATATCCCAAAACTAACTTAATCTACTTTACTGTGAAAGCATCTCTGTAAATCTCTGAGACTTACCATAATCATCTAGCAGGATATTTTCTGGCTTCAAATCTCTGAAAATGAAAGATAGTAGTTATTTTTTGAAGCTGGTTTTGATAACATAACCATACGACAGTGTATGAGTGCATTTATTACTAGTAATAAACCAATTGAGTGTCAAGTCAAACAGCAAGGAACTCAGGAAACCAATACAACTTTCTACAACTCACTTCACAGATAGACTGAAACCATATGTCTTTTTCTAAACTGGAGTCACATTTTTTCACTAAGCCAAGCTTTTAGTTCCTAATCCACTCTATGATGGACTCATCCATCTAGTCCTGCAAGCCTTGTAAACCAACCCCTATAGTCCTATGCATTGTTAAATCTCTGCAACATTTTCTGTTATAAAATCTTTTGTTAAAAAGAAAAATATTTTAAATTTTAAAATATTTTACTTGCATATGAAAATGGAAATAGCAATCTGTTGGGCTCAAATTTTCTATGCCTAGCATCTGACTCAGAACAAATATGCGAATGTGTGTACATGCATTTGTGCACATGTGTAATAGTTTCAGCGAGTTCGGAAAATGAGGGGCAGAGTGCGGAACGCTGTGCCCAGATTAAAATTCTTCCAACAAACATTTGTGAAACTCTACTGCCTATGTGGTTTGGAGCAACGCCATGAAAATTGGCAAGGTGGTCACTCTGATGTCAAAGATGTGCCTTTTACTGCTCCTGTGAAAAAAAAAATAAAAATTCCCAAATCTGGCCAAGTTATAAACTTCTGAAAAAAAAAAAAAACCTCAGTTTTCGTATATTTAGCAGAGCCTTGGCAGGTCATTCTTCTGAAAAGTTTGTCTGCACCAAACCCACCAGCTGCTGCTTCTAGATGCTGCCCAGGCCAGCCCCGCTCAAATCCCCTCGCTCGGCCAAGGCTGTTTTCCAACCCTGCGGAGCTGAGCACAACTTTGCAGCCACGGCTGCCGTTCCTGGATGCGGTGGTGGGCTGCTGTCGAGGGGGGAGCCGGGCAGGTTTCTGCCCGTCCTCCCCACGCCGCTGAGCTAGAGCAGAGCGGGAATGAAGCCAACCTTCGTGGGATGGGACCTGGAGGTGTCAGAGGGAAGACAGGGACGTGCTGGGCAGGGAGCGTCCCAGAAGGGGCGTGCGATGGGAGCAGGCTGTGCTGGCTCAAGAGCCTGAATACGGCATCAGCGTGGCCGGTGAGGCAGGGAAAAACGTATTGCTGCAATTCATAACATCACGGCCTGACTTTTGTCTGATTGACTCCTACTGAAACACAGCGCTTAGCCTGGTGCAAATCCAAGAAGTGCTTGGCCTCCGTCTTTTTTTTAAGGCCTCCTTGCATTTGTGAACCAGCTTGATTCTGTTAGCTTCCCAGCAAGAGGCATTTCTTTTCAAAGAGCAGAGAGAGGGGGTCCTACAAGAGAAACCCTCGCACCGGGACATCAGTGCATCGCACGGAGTCTGTGCAGGAGCCTGCCCTGCGTTTCAAGCTGTACCACTTCAGTGTCATGAATTTTCCTGTGAATGGCGAGGGCCATTTTGTAGTTTTGACGATGCTGAGATTAAAATTTGAAAACTCGTCTCGTTTTTATTTATTATTTCAAGCAAGAACATAGAGCGCTGTGAACAATCTCCTCTTCTTGCTTGCTTCAGACCCTCTTGACCTCTCAAGATAAACTTCACCGGGTGCCCAGTGGTACCAAGCCTACTTTTCAAATAAACAATACTGAAATATATGACGGGCGGCCGCATGCTGAGGAGAAGCTGCGATTTTGTTTAACATATCACCGTGGGCTTTCCCTGCCTATCAGCAGAAGGTTTCCAATGCTGGAGCAACACGGTCAAGGGCATTTCCTATTTATTTTTAAAAATTTATTCCTAATCCCTTAAGAAATATTTCCTTGAAGAACTCAGACTTCATTAGTTACTTCATCTTCCACTCCAGCAGTTATTAGTCCCACTTAAAGCTTTGTCATTTGTGGCCAAATGACAAGAATCCTGCATGCAAGTTGGGAAATGGCATCTTTGAATGAGAAAATGAGGGAGTCCACGAGGACTCTGAGAACAGCAGTTCGGTCCTTACAGTCCTCTGCGATTTAGGGCAATTAGAGCAGGCTTTTCTTTCCCACCAGACATCAGTTGTCATTTCTGTTTGCAGATTTCTGGTTCCTCATGATCAAGGCTGGCTTCCTTTGCACGGCCAACACTTCCAAGTGCTGAGGAGGAATGTGATTCTTGTACTGAAATGTCTAGGAGAAATAAAACTCCCCGGTGGACACAGTTACATGTAAGGCTACTTCCCAATGGTACAGCTTCCTATATGTAAACTCGCCTTGCCTAAATATAGTGAAACATAAACTGCTGGCACTGTGCCCATGCTAGAAAGGCGATGGCGCGTTGTTTGGCTGTACAGGACAGCATAAACAACTCAGTCACGGTGGACAAGGCTTTACTGTGTATTTGTGTAATGCCTAGGACAATGCGATCTTGATGCTGACTGGAGCTTCCAGGCATGGCTATAGCATATATATAAATAATTTTTATATATATATTATATATATATAACAATACTTATATAAATATTTCAGGGAGAACCAGCAGCTTTTTATGTTTGCTTCCTATGAACAATCAACCTGTTGACCTTTACTAACATGATGCAGTTGAGAAATGTCAGATAAGTGTCACGTTTGGCAAGGGAATTCTGAATCAGATAAATCTGACTCTGAGCCTGGTTGTTCTCTCAGGTCACATCCACAGCGTGCGTCACCGGCCCGTGAGATGGGGATGTATTTTCTGTTGCTGTGATTTACTCAGAAGCATTTTGTTCATAGAAAATGAAATTAAGTCTGAGGAATAAGTGTTTTGTGATGAATTATTCACCTTGAGAAAGCGGTAGCATTTAGGCGCTATATTTTATTGACCTATATAGCACTTCTCATGGGTCCCAAAACATGCTGCAGTATTACAAATTAGGGGTCTCTGCAGATGCTCCTAAAATACTGCTAGAAAATGTCACCTACAAGGATGTAATATCATTCATCACCAAAATGAATGTGCCACCTGAGGTGTAAACTAGCAGCTCTTTTAAGAGTAACATGAAAACAACTGCTTAAGGAAGTAGGATGCCATTTCTCTCAGAGCTATGTACTATTTTGAGTGGCCAGATCTAATTTGTTTTATTAGAAAGTGGCATTAGTATGGCATTTTACCAGCCATGTTATGAATGTACCAGTCATTTTCATCAATAAAGTATGCTTGTGGTCTAGTACTTTTTAAAGTAACACTATAATACCTCCTAAAACTTTTTTGAATGTGGTAGGGTGCTTTTTAAAGAAAAGGGAAAACACATCACTCATTTAATTTTTCAACTGACATTAAACACAAAATTCCATTTTGTTCCTTGGGAAAAAAAATCCCCTCCTTGGGCCAGTGCCAACTAAATCAGCGTGTTATCTGTCTGCCCTCCTTATGCCAGCTAGCAAGATCTGAGTCACAGTGAGGCAACCAACTGGCAGTTTGCTGGAGATCTCCTCCAAGGAACAATAATATCGTAATTTCTATGTATACAAGCATATGCATAATGTTTATTATACATGGGCATATCAAATGATTTAAAGTGTGGCTTAGTTTTTAAAAATAACATATTATTGTCTATTAATCATTGTCCTTGGAGGCTCTTTCATCAATCCACAGGACTTCTTCTGCTGTGAATGCCAGCAATAATGATTTCACAAGCTGGGATGATGAAGACAAACATTAAATGTTGTTTACAACTACACTGGTCATTGATTTAAAAAAAAAAAAAAATCCTCATGGAGTCACAAGAACTCTGTCTGCAGTCATGCTGCTTATCCAGCAAGTAAACCCTATGATGCCCTGGAAAAGCACTTGTATAGAGCTGTAAACCAGACTGGGAGCTGAGAACTTGAAATCTGTCCTTCTTGAAGCTCGCTGCCTGACACCGTGCTAGGAGAGATGGTTTTTCCACATCTGATGTGGTACAGCCCCTAATGCAATGTAATCTAAATAATTAAAATAGAGGCTTGAATAGGATGATCTCCATTTCATACCAACTAGAAACTAGATTCCTTAATGAAATCCCTTTAAAAGAACTTTCATAATTTTTTTATGTTACCCAGTGCACGCTGAGGTAGGGTTTGGGGACCTTTGTGTTAGTTCTGTGTAATTTAGACAGGATGTATTTAGTGAAGCAACTGCTTCCTTCCATGATTACTGAATCATACTGAATTTGCACAGGGCTCTGCAAAATTTCAGCCAAAGCACTGAGGCATCTAAGCTGTACAGCACCACAATGACCAGGGAGGATGCAGGCAATTCTTTTCTACGCAGAAAAGATGTCCTAAAACTCTAGAGAGTGCTTACCTGTACACAGTATTTTCTCTGTGTAGGTCTTCTAAGCCACAAAGAATCTCTGCTGCATAAAACAAAGCTCTTTCCTCCTCAAAGCCTGGGTTTCCCATGTTGTAGATGTGAAACTTCAGGTCGCCTCCATTCATTATGGTCAGAACTAAACACAGTGCATCCTTTGTTTCATAGGCATAGGCTAAATTGACCTAGGAAAACATTTGTAGCATAGTTGTGACAGTTCAGTTAGCTGCTAAGAAGAAAGCACTAACTTTCCATTAAAGATTTTCTCTAGAAAAGGAAAAAAATACATTGACTGAATTTGATATGGGCCTTATTACAATAGCAAACACACATTTTAAAAGTACAGAGAAATCAGATGTTAGGATTTTATAGCTTAATTTGTTGAATCCAGCCTATTTATCATCAGAAACCCTAAAGGTTAATGCTCAGATAGCTTCGCAGGCTGGACAAACGTACTAATTCCAGGCATACTTTTCCGTGTAAGAGAAATCTTAATAATCAAGGGAATCTACACCGCCTGCTGCACTGTTTTGCTGGATAGCTGTCAAAAACCTATCATCTCAGCAGGTTCCCAAGAAGGCCCAGATAGCCCAGTCCTGCGGTGGTCAAACGGACCATCGCTGAGGCATGAAGGTCAGCAACACCCCTGCGAGGCTCCGGTGGGTGCCCCAGGAGCGATCAGACAAACCAAAATATCACTTTTAAATACGGGCCAACGCCTTTCCTTCTGCCAGAGGTAAGTAAACATCTTGCATCTGTTGTATTCACAGTGTTTCCAAAAATAAGCGTAAAGAACACGACAGATGCTGAGATAACACCACCTTTTTTTTTTTGTAAAATCTAAGGCAAGGTTTTAAAGAGACACAAGAGCTGGCACAACTCAGGAAAGCCCTACGTCAGGCAGACCAGCTCCGCGTCACGGGCTAGCTGCTTCCACTACCAATCTCTTCTGATCTATTTGGGTTGAATCTCCTTCAGTCTCCTCCAAGCTCCTCTCTGCCAGGCGCTGGGAATTCAGGTAATCACGCTGGATAAAAATAGCTCAGCCTGATGCAGCCCTGATGCAAGTCAAGGCCTGTAAAATGCATCACGTTCCCGTGGTAGGAACAGGTACCTTGGCTGGTGCATTTCTCACAAATCAGAGACTAAAATGAGACTCGGCAAAGGTGCGCGGAGCAGGACGAGACATCAGGTTCAACAGAAACAGTGCTCAGCAGGTGAGCAGGGACCTGAGCGCTGGGGAGTTCAATACTCACTACGAACTGACTATTGACTTTTTCTAAAATCTGCTTTTCATTTAGTGCCATGGATTCGCCTTTCCTCTTTTTTATTCTCTTCTTCTCTAATCTCTTGCAGGCGTACATCTTCCCTGTCGCTCGGACTTGGCAAGCGCAGACCTGCGAATTAAAGAGAACAATTGCTGGGTAAATTGAAGCAAACACTATGTCTGGGCTGCTCTTCACTCCTCATGATCCGATCTGATTTAGTCCTTTTAAGGTTAGAGACGGCAGCGTAGCGAATAAAGCATAGGCGGGGGCAGCTGGGGAACAGACTACTGTTTCCAAACCTGCTGTGTAATATTGGTTTAATTATTTCACTTTCCTCCGCCTGCTTCCTATCCCACCTCCTTTTGTCTGTGCAGATTTTAATGTGCTCAGCTAAAGCCTGTCCGCGCCTCCTCTGACTCTGCTGCCTAGGCAGTGACCTCGAGCCATCAGTAAAATACAAATAAGGGTGTGACCCTAATTCCACTGTGAATGCAACAGTCGAATACAATATAATTCTCAAAAGTGTTCTTTTGAGATTACAGTGTCATGAGAGGCTAAGTAAACTGTCAGCAATTAACGAAAATCAGCCTCTGTCACATCAGGCTCCTGTAACCTGCAGTGCCTGAGAAGTAAGAAACGCTCTTAACAGAAACTTTCAGAATTACTCACCTCCCCAAAGCCACCTTTCCCTAGTACCCTGTACTGCCGAAACGTGTTTTTCGTTACTGGTTGCCTGGAAGAAGAGGAAAAAAAAAATTTAAAAAAAAATGACATACTACATTTAATGCACTCTCTGTGATTTATTTATTTCAGAGCATACTTTTGAAAAGCAAAATAGATAAATATTATATAATCACATTACTTCAAGGTAATCATGTTATATAATACAATGTATAATGATGTAATTACATTACTTCAATACTATGTATGGCTTGAACTTTTCAATTCCAACATATTAAGCTGTAATAAAATACAACACATTAGTGAGTCATCAGTATAATTTCTGCTAGCGTCTTAGGACCATGGAGGGTTCTGAATCTCCGTTATATAGCTTTGGCCTTTGTGAAGCAAAGAGGAGGCCTGAGAGCTTCCAACAAGATATTAATTCTCATGATATATACAAATTCTTTAAGGGTAGTGCTGGGCTAACACTTTATTGCTTTGTTTGGTCTTCAAGATGAGAAAAAGAGATCCAAAATTCAATCCACCAGAAAATACTTCTGGTGTCTCGACCTTAAACAAAACAGGAAACTGATGTGAAACAAGGAAAGAAACAATCCCGGGAACCAGAGAGGTGGGTTTAGGTGCCGTTCGCAGGAGGGGAGAGCAGGGAGCCGAGCTCCAAGCCAGTTCGGCCCCGCCTCGGGTACCAGCCTCCTGGGAGAGCATCACTGGCAAGAAGGGAGAAAAGCATCTCTTTTCCTTTTAAGGGCCAAATTAAGGGGTAAATAAGTCTGTCTTTCTTTCTGAGGGCAGAGTGCTCCTTAATGATCACTAGACATGATCGCTATCCAATCTCACAGGATTCCCACAAAATCCTGCTCTACCAAAATGGCTCCAGCCCTACATCTCACTTACACTTTGTTACCCTGAAAGTTTTACAACGTGGCAGAAGAGGAACTCTAGATTCAGAGAGATCCGATTTTGTATCCACCACTCCGTCACTGAAGTTTACAATTATATTAGCAGTTGATATGAATATTCCTACCAGCTTTGTTTTCCTCTGGCGGGCGGCCAGCCGGCAGAGGGAGCGCAGTAACGTGGCTGTTCCCACAACAGGGATGATGAGGTTGATGACAATAAGGAAGAAATGTTAAAGTGAATCGTTTCATTTATGTTCATTATTGTTTTTAAAAGTGGGGGAAGAAAAATACACAGAAAGCCAAAACTAGAAGAGGAAAAGATGCTATTTTCAGGCTTCTGTGAGGATACTGCAAATGCTATTGGGGTTAAAAGCGACAATTAGCAGTAATAACTACATGCTCAGCAATGTCCGTGGAATAAATGGACTGTATGACTCCTCTGTTGGAGCCAGCAGGCTGTCAGAAGGAGCCGTTGATCACTCTGTGCTACTAACATCTCTTTGCTAATCCTAAAAACAGTTCTCCCAGCTTCTTAAGCCAAGCATATCCAATAGCTTGTCACATTTGTTGGGGGAATGGAAAAAAAAATCCACAAAGCATTTCAGAAAATTCCTTACCCCAAATGTGAAAATAGATAGGAAATAGCCTGGCTAGAGATGAATCAGCTGATGTTTTTTTAATTGAAATGGAAGAGTAAATGCTGGATTCAGTAAAGACGGCATGTGGAGCATGTCTTGGCATGAAATGGCTCTCCCCTCTGCCCACCGCTTCCCTTCCCTCTTGTGCAGCAGCTTTGTAGCTTTCCAGGGAGAGGAACTGGCACAGCTCCTTTGATGTCCGAGGCATCACGCTGATGCACACCGCTCATGGAGCTGGCCCTAACTCATCTGCCGTAATTAATTCCATTTGTGGAACCCGGGGCTTCGCTCAACTCAAGGTCACTGTTACCCAGCAGTGTACATCTGTCGCAGCCCTCACTGACAAGGAGAAGGCAAAGGACCCTTTCCTTGCAAATTAATACCCACTAAGGCTGCCTGGTTATTAAATGTGCTCAGAAATGTCTAGCCAATAAATATGGTGCGAGGACCTATATGCCGTATTTTTGTCTGTTTACAGTGATTTAATAATAGTTGTAACTGGTCCAGACGAAAAGTCACCATATTCAGAGTGTAGCTAAACAGGAAGGCAACTGAAGTTTCTGAATGTACTTTAATCATGCCTAATGTGCCTAATGTACCCAATACCATTAAACGGCTGAACACTTGAGCCAACACTTTAGAAGCCAAAACTGGCTCCCTGGTGTTTTGGGGTGGATTTCTGTTTTATTCTTTACTTCCCTAGAGAGCAGCATCTGTTTCAGTCTTGCGTGGGTACGGTGTACACTGGATGTGTATCTTACGTTTAGCATTACAGCTGCACAAGGGGAGGTTATAAAAAAAGTGCAATGTGTCCTTCAAGCTGTGCCATGAGTAGCTCGTGGTGACAGGGCCTACAGAGAAATTGGCCACAGATATTTCCCAGATCACAGGAGATTTGGATTTCTTTTTTTTCATAGGCTTTACGTTTTTTCCTATTCACTTGCCATGCACAAGCATGCTGTGAAAAAAAGGTGCCCAAGCTGCTTGCTGGAGCATTTCACTTTCAGAAGTGTGGTGTCCTTAAAGAGAGAAGGGAGCGGCTGAGGAGTATTTATGGGTGTAAGGACTCTCACGGAGGATGAAAGAGCACTATCCATACCCCAGACACCAATGGTACTCGTTGCATGGTCACAGCTGGAGACTCAGCTCATGGTTAAACTGAGTCTTATGCCAAAATAAACATGACTTTTCTATATGGCATCTTCCTGTGGCTAAAGCCATTACCTCTTCTTGAACCTTCTAACAATGAACACTTAAAAACAAATGCTAAAATTAGGAAAACCTTCCTGGAGCTCTCTGGGAGAGCTTCCCTCGAGTACAGCTCAGGGAAATGGGGAATGAGTCTTGATGGACCTTCCTGAAGGAGAACAGTAGAAAGAGGGAGAGAATTGCTGCACAGAGAGGGTCACAAATTGCAAGCATTAGGATGAGGCATTGGTAACGCTGAAGAAAGGCCAAACTGTCTTTATCTTGAAGGCAAGTGGAGCAAACATACTATCTCAGCTGTCAGATTTTGAGTGTATTCTACAGACTTTGCATGGAAAGTGGAAATAAACCTTTCGTATGCATTTTTAATTAAGAAAAAAAAAAAATTGTGACACTTACCTTTCCAACCACTTCCACTGGAGAAACCTGTCGAAGTACATGCTGTTTAGGTATTCTTGGAATGGTTCCCCACTGAGGTGGTCAAGGACAGATCTATCTCAGATGAAAAGGATATATAAGCATTTTATAATCCTGAACTTGGAGCAAAAGAGAAACAAAACAAGAGGAGAAAATCCAGACTTTTTGTATGGTAGGATCATACTTCTACTTTATTTTTGCACTTTATTTTACTCATGGTTTCAATCTAGGAACAAAGTGTTATGTTTGCTGTATTTCTTAACAGGAGGCCTTATACAAGCTGAATAGTAGTATGTACTGGTTATGCTTGCTGAAAATTAACAGGGCGTCTCCCACTGGCTTCAATGGACTTTTACAAAGGCTGTTAGTCACTATACAACAAATGTCTTTGCTTCTGTTAGTAACTTAACACCCTCAGGAACTGAGCTCCAAAACTTTGGGGGATGTTTACATCTGGATTAAAAATTTCTGGCTGAAGCCCATTTCTGTCAAAAAGGGACCATCAGAGGAGTTACTTTCAGCAAAAAAATCAATTTCAATTCCTGCTATACAGAAGTAGTAACTGTGATTAAAGTCAAAGGGCTTTTCCTAACAGCTATGTGCTTTGTAGAGTAAAACAGAGGAAAGAAAGCCTGAACAGGGATGTGGATTTGTTTCTGGATCAAGAAAAGAAATCTGGGCTCACGCAGTGGTTGCAAAGTCTTCTGCATAACCAGAGGAATACAGGAATAAAAAGGCCAGTCTGCAAATGTGAGAAGTAAGTTGCTTGTGACAGGTAACAAGCAGCCAGAGACCAACAGACATCCCATAAGAAAGGCCAAAGGTTCAGAGTGAAGAAAAGATGGGCTAGCTGAGAGCTGCCTGAGATGGAGGCGGTCACATTCTTTCACAGAGGGTTGCTGACCTGCTGGTTTTGGTCCTTGCCTTGCTTACTGGGGCTACTGCATCCACCTCTGCTGGCAGCATTGGTGGGGACAAAACTTGGTTTGGGGTGAAAAATGCCCACAAGAAATGAGTGTTTCTGTCTTGGTGTATACAGACACTTTTGTGTCTGTAGCTAAGGGTGTTTCAGGTATTTGAAGATATATAAGACACATTTCCAGATTTTGCTGGAGGAGGAAATCCTCTCTGAAGGACTACTCTAGTTTAGGAATGGATAATCTATGTTTTATCCTGGAGCAGTTCTAGACCTGAGCAAACAATTCACCAGGAATAACGTGTCTCCTCAGCTTAGCTCCTCCTTGTTCATGAGCTACTATTCATAAGTTTTTGGAATTTCTCAGCTGTTTGAGGTTTTTTTTTGGTAATTCTTGCACCATCAGTTTGGAACAGGCAGGTAATTGCACACACTCAGTAGTCATAAGTCAAATTGTTGTTGTCTTCATTAGCTTTGATTGGACACAGATCATACGTTTTCCCCTATGTGGATTCAAGCTTACAAAATAATAAAAAAAGTAAGTCTTAATGAGCTTTAACAAATGGCCAAATTCAAAGCCAAAATTATAGGGGAAATTGGAGGGGGGCAGGAGCAGACAGTCAAAATATTAAAGGTCAGAGCAGAAGTTAGAGTTATACATGCACTTCTCCCGCAGACTGATCTTATCTACAAAGACGTGTCTGAAACTCATCCCCATTCCTGCTCCTACAGGACAGCAAGCTTCATATTTGTATGTATGCCTCCGTTTTTTGGTCTGACTGTGAACTCTTCCAAAATTAACATTATTCAGTACCTTTAGTAAATACCAACAGCAAGTTTTTAAAACTTCCTTTTGACCCCATTTGAGTCCATGTGAAATGATCAGCCTATTTATCAACAAGGTCTCAAACCTGGCTCATTTCTCTGTTTCAGTTGAGATGAAGGAATGGCTGTCGGTGAATACGAGCCTGAATTAAGTGGTGTCCAACGCTAGCCTATTCCATTCAGTTAATTAAAAGCTGCACGTATTTTAAAGAACAATAGCTGCCTTTCAGCAGCTGTTTGCTTTTTAGTTCCCCTCTTTGGCAACAACAAAGTGCATTTTAGAGGGAACTGTCAGCTTTCAAACCGATTTGAGAACTGGAAACAGGCATCAGGGGGGGTTGTGTCGAGCACAGCTCTGCCTTTGTCATTGGGACTGGCACACACAACTGGTGCAAGTTATACGAGCATCTCTACATGACACCAGGCCAATGCAAGGAAACTGGTTATGTTATAAGAGAAGGCCAGAAATAACCCACATCTCCTACCAACGCAAAGAATAACTGAAAACAGAAAAGGTCAATGAAATGAGTCAAAACAATGAATGACAGCGGAGCGAATTTTACAAATCCCCATTACATCATCCAGGGAAAACAAACCGTGCTCAGCCAGAAACCACATGGGCCAGCTTGCGATGATCCCTCCTTTTCATATTTTTATTGGTTTATGATCTACTGGAGTGAACGTACTCTGGTCAGTGTTTGCAAATGCAGATTGCATACCTGGAGCTTTAGCGCATAATAGCACAAATCGCCTCGCCGCTGCAAAAACTGATAAGCCTTTTCCCAGACAAAGGATGAAATAACGCACGTTCATTTGAACGCCACAGACAGACAGAAAGCATTAAAGAAGCCCCATTCTCCGGGTGAAGATTTTCTGGAAAAGCCATGCGGAGCAAGTTTGCACATTCCTCTGTCTAAATGGACTGTATAGCCACTTAATTTTTATTCACTTTGAAACAGAGATGTTTTCTTTGGATACATTATCATTGTAGCTCTTTTCACACAGCATGAAATCCATGGCTGGTTTACTTGGCTAGAACACTCTGTCAAATACCTGAAACACTAAGTGCCTGTGTGTAGCGTATATAATGGCATGGAAATATTTATTATATTTTGTTCAGATGAAATGACTTCACCGCTTGTCAGCTATGCCTCTAGGATTATGAACATAAGCCGAAGATACGTGCCTCAGGTTCAAATTGAAATGTCTCTCTCTACCTGACACATTCCTTACAAGCTGCTGACTGCAGCCCTGCGATCTTTGGGTATTGAGTTATACTTACTTTGTGCAGTGAGAGAATAGCTCTTTGCAGGGGCTGTTTTCGAGCTTCTCCTCTGTCTGCTGGATAAGATCTTGACTGACTTCGGGAACGCAGGCTGGAGACTGGGGAGAGAAGAGAGAGGCACATTATCTCTGTGGCGAGGTGCAGATTCTCCTTTCTTAACGTGTAAAAGACACATTCATTATTTATGCCCTGAGCTGCTTCCATTCAATTCCAGTGGTTGTGTAAAAGCAAAGGAGCTTTACGTCAAACAGCAGTAAAATAGGATACCGTGGTAACTCGCTCCACATTCCACTCTATCCTCACATTGCTTTTCTGCCTTCTCCTGTACCTTCACCTCCTTGCCCAGCCTCATGAATATGCAGGACCCGCTCCTTGCCAATTCTTTGAACTGCTCCCTTGCATCCCATGAAAAATGTGCTGGCCTGAACTGTGTACAGGCCATTCTCTTAAACAAAAGAGAATTTGCCCAGTGTTTTCACTTCATTGATGATTCATTGTGCTGTCTGAAAAATCCATCTTTTTTTTTTTTTTTACCAGCAAAGGAAAACAAGAGCAGAGCATTGGTATTTATTGATTTATATATAAGTAATATAAAAAGATGCTCACAAAAGTGTCTGGACACCTTAATTCATCATTAGAAGGACAAAAATAATCCAGCAGTTTTAAAATAATCATTTCAAAAAGGAACTCTGCCAACCAAGCACATAAACTCTTTTCATCCTTTCCTCCCTTTAGAGAGAATGTACATTCAGCCCCTTCAAAAAGCCCTTACCAAAGAGAGGTCTTTTGCAGTATGCCTTGATGGTTAACCAGTTTAGGGCCTTTGGGGCTAATTATCTATAAAGACAGTTTTTAGGCAGTCTACATTCTTAGTCATTGACAGTATACTGTAATTATATAAAAGAGTGTATACGCATGTGTGTGTGTGTATATGAGTGTCTGTGTACACTTACTTATAGACATTTCTCCCATTCACATTAAAGCCCCTTTACATAACCAATCGGATTTGGGTATTTTCAATAAACCCCGCCATAGATGACAAAATCCTCTTTCCTTGCCGAAGCCTTAACCCTGGGTAAGGTTCCCCATCCATGGCCACGACCACCAGATGTGCTGAGTGGGTGGGTCACAGAGCATCATCACTCATTCCTGGCCAGATGTTCTCATTAACTCACCCTTAGTTGGGGAAATCCTGGCAAGCACTGAAATGCCTTGCAGGCAGAGTTCAAAAACACTGGGAACGAGGACAGAGGAAGGGGCAGAGGCGGAGCCACAGAAAATCTCCAGCATGGTGAAAGCTGAATTAAGTCTTTTATCTTTTCCTTCCCACTGCTGAAACGTGAATATGATCCTGGTTGTGACATGAAAAAGTAAGTTTGTTCCACCTGAATGTTTTTAAATAGGAACATGGTTTACAGAACTGTCTGTGCATGCTGCGTAATGCAGTTTCACTATTCAACCCTGACAGACAATCTGCAGAACATGCTGGATATCTTTGACCTCACTGAACTATTTCCTCATTTCCTCCATATATTCCTCCATTTCCTCAGAAAATGGTATCTAGGGAACACCCACTTTTAATGGCAGAGTATATTGCTAATAATTTAGAAGTCTCACAGTTTCTTGAGAGGTAGATGAGCCCCCACATTATCATCTAAAAGATTAAGAGACTGAGACAAAGCCAGATTTTCTCAGCTTGTGTGGCCACTGAGGTTGGGTAGAACAAGTCTCAGTAAATCAGACAACTTACAGAAATTCCTCACTGCAGATGCCCATGACTAAATCTAAGTCCCCAGTTTTAGTTCAAGAGAATAAGTAGAGGCAAGAGTGAAGCAGTGAAAGAATGAGGACAAAACCTCAAAAGTCCTGTTATCCAGTCCTACAGCTGTTGCATTGAAACTACCAGGGAAATAAAAAAAAAAAAAAGGCTTTTAAAGGAATATTCAGATAGGAACTAAAGCCTAATGATCAGAAGTATTTCAGTTGATTTCAGCTAGGAACCATATGAATTAATGCCTGTACTTTACAATTTGCATACTCAATGGGGTATGTACACAAGCTCACCGGCAGCCCAAAACTTGTACGTGGCTGCGTGAGTCCACTGCTCGGACACCTGGTTACCTTGAACATCTCTCTGATTTATAGGGTACAGAAACACCACTGAACTCCATAGTCTTTGTACTGCTGTCAGTCAGGTGTCTTCTGATGTGAATGCAGTTGCACTTAAGTAAAAGTGATACTAGGGCCTCTAATTGAAGTTACTACTAATTAAATCTAGAACTTGTTCTACATTTATCGGCCATGATTGGGATCCAAAAGCTAAGTATTAAAGCCCATAATTAGTAATTTAGACCAAGTGACCTGATTCTTATTCATGCCAGGCAACTTCATTTCCCAATGGGAGGTAAGCTGCCTTGAGGTTAGTGTTGAAGGTCATGCCCATGATGCATTATTACAATAATAATTCCATCAAATTTTGTCTGAGAGCAAAGCACATTTAAAAAAAAAATGAGCTAACTCTTTTTCATAAAGAAGTGAAATTCTTAAAGGGAAAGGGGAGAAGAATGAGCAAAAGAAACTGTAAGACAATGTGGGAAGTATTTAAAAATGGCACGAAGTGTGATTCCTCTCTCCAAGTTTGTGGGAGATATACAGTCAACACTTGGTTTTTCAAAACCACTCATTGCTGACCTTTGAGTCTTTGCTTCCTCTGAACAAATCGAGAGCAAGCTAACAATATCAAGGTAGGTAAAGACATAAATACACTAATATCCTGTACATGGACTAAAGCCTCACAGTGTAGTGCAAGCACTTTACTAGACCACTTCATTTTCTGTAACAAAAAACCCCACTTTTTTTTTCACAAGCTGATCATTTCCAAAGGTTTTGTAGGCCCAGCAAAACATTTGGTGTCATTATGCAGCCCTTCATAGTGTTCAGGGCAGAGCAGCTGCACCACGTGTATGGGAGAAGCCTACCCAACCCTTTCCAACTCTGCATACAGTTCTAGGGAGTCTTTGTATGAGCCTTCTTGAGATTTTCCTCGAGACTTCATTGTTCCCGCTGCTTCCATGAAATAACCATGACTGCCATTCTCCTGTTTGAATCCTGTGCATACCTACGGCCTTCAAATGTTCAAAGCAAGCCAGAAACAATTACAAGCCCAAACCCAACCCACTAACCTACTTTTGCTCCCCTGGAGAACAATTAGGTAGCACAGGTTGTGAGTGCAAGAAAGCATTCGGATCCCAAGAGTGAAAGCTTCCAAAGGTAACACTTTGGCCACTTACAGAAGAAAAAGTTTCTTCTTCCCTGGAGAGGTGCAAAAAGATTTCTGCAGCCCTGATGAAATGGTTATTAACACGATTCTCCCACTGCATTATGGGTAATGGCTGTAAAAGCAAATTCAGCTTTTACGGGGGAACAGAGACACCTCTTCCAACATATTAAATGTCCTGTGGCAGCTAAGAGAACTGTACCCCATGATTAAGACCATTGTATCTGAGCGTGTGACAAAGAATATGCTGCTAACTCTTCACAAACACCTGCAGAAACCTGTTATGTTTTCTTGTATTCAAAACAAAATGCTGGGTAGTTTTAATGTGTACAGTCCTATACTTCCTCTGATGGCTGTTCTGTTTCCTGAAGGCAAAGAAAGTGATTCTTGATCTCACTTATGATAATGTAAATCAGAAATGATGTCAGTCAAGTCAACAGAGTAACACTAGGGTAAAGCTGATGGAACTGAAACCAGATTTACGGCCCAAGACTCTGGCAGCACAAAAGTGCTTAAATTGATCCAATAACAGAAATTTTTCTCATATCATTATCCTTTTTGATCAGTTTAATAAAAGTCCAAAAGTCCAAACTACTTTCACCAGGTTTTAATAAAAATTTCCTATCTATCATCTCCTGTATCTTCTCATTTATGGCCAGAAACCGAAAACCTTTGTATAAATATTTTGTTATTTGTAAACCAACATCTCAGTTTTATGATGCCCTATTTATTTTTTAAGAAAAGAACGCAACTAGGAATTGGATTAGTGATTATCTGAGAAACAAGAAATGGATATTCAGTTACTTCTGAGTGCCATTAACACACTCTGAGAAAAAAGTCTCCATTTCTAAATGTTGTTTTTTTCTAATTTAAAAGACAAAAGAGATCCTCTCAGCTGCTCTTCTGTTTCAGTAAGTGGCCTGAAAACAGCTGAGATGTCACACACTTGTTCAAGGTTAGTTGTGTTCGTGTCCACAAAAATTCGGAGATCACCGTTCCTTCCAAATTAAGCCTCTGGGCTTGCAAGATACTTTTGCTGAGAGATTGATTACAGCTTCTCCCCCTTCCTCTCCTGTTCACTAGGACGCAACTACTGATAAACAGCACGGCGGCCAGGTTTGAAGCTGGATGCAATATCACCCATAAATACCAGGTTCTTGGTGGGAGCCGAGAGCATCGCAAGCTGAATGCAATCTGGTCTTTCCTGCACTGCCACAGTTGTCCCCGGCAGCCTGAATGCCAGGAGACCCGTGCCAGGCAGCCGTGCCCACGCTGCATCTGGTATTGCCCGTGTCCCGGCACTCGGCACCTCGCTGAAGTGCAGAAAAGAAGAGAAATATGATTCTGATCAGATGAAAGCTTCCAGGCTATAACTCCCCATTATCTGTTATTTTGAATGTCATGTTGCATCATTTTACTATAAAATGTAAACTCTCCTTTTTTGACAACTCTGTAAGTTTTGCTACAGGCTACTTCACTCAGCCCTTCAAGACACAGTATTTGTTGACCTTCACTGAACAGGATAGCAAACAAATAAGCCTTCTCATAAAATCCTCTCTATATGTTTGCCATGGTACTCACACCATTTCTCTGACGGTGTTTCCACTGTGACTGCGTGGAGGACACCTGACCTTTTGTCGAACTATCAGCTAATCAAATTCTTTATAAAACAAGCTGAAAAGCCAGCAGTACCATGGGAGGCATTCAGAAGACCTCCTCTGATAATTTTACTTTTTCATTAAAACTTGTTATTTGTTCTAATTTTCCTTAAGACAGAATTTCCAAACATTTAAAATGTATGACTTTGGTCAAGATGTAGTA